AGATTGGTAAGAGGCATTCATCATAAAGGAGGACAATCAACTCTGCTTTCCAACCCTGAGGTGTGCGGAGTGTGAGAGAACATTATCACCTTGAGAGATCTGCAGGGGAAGTGATGCTCTTGGGAGGTCAGGTTCTATTAAAGCAGGAGGTAGAAGAAAGTTTTGGAGACGAACTGGAGGATATATCGGAGTTTGTTGATTGTAAAACAGGAACTACAGAGGATGGCAAGGAAGAGTTTGGGAAGAAAAGAAAGGTCAGGTCAGGAGACAGCAACTTGGGTGAATTGTCTAGGAAACGGAAGGTGATCAGAGGGGCTTACACTCCAAGTGTAAGGAAAATAGGCAGCCGTGGTGGATTTGGTCTTGAAAGGACTGTGGAGGAGGATGGACATTTAGGTCTAACTCTGGCCTGGAGTGAGGTCTACTGGTTGTTGTGTGGGGCTGTGCATTCCTTCTATCCATGATAAACTAATGTTGGCAACTGCAGCGAATGCAGCCTTGGCTGGCAGCAGTGAACAAGTCAACCCTGTGGGCATCTTCGTTGGGAGTGTAGGCTAGGGAAAGGTTGGGCATTGGTCATTTTTATGGACGTAGGCTGCTGCTTTCCATGGCATTTGATGACCCTTCCCTCAGCTATCTCATGGTGGGCAAATGGTCCTTCAGTATTCCAATCTCTCTGATTTTGTGATGCTTTTATAGTGCTCACCTACTCAATCTAGTTCTACCCTTTGGGGACCATGGAATAGCCTAATAATTACTCTTCTCCTGACCATCCTTTAAGTCACCGCTACCATGTCCCTGTGACCTTCGTACGACAAATATTCTCTTTAGGCTGACTGTGCGCTATTATTTTTTAATTTAGGCAAAATTTATACAACATAAATGCAACCATTTTAAAGTGTACAATTCAGAATACTATTTAGTACATTCGCAATATTATGCAAGCTTCACCTCTATCTAGTTGAAAACATTTTCATCAAAAGAAAATCCTGTACCCATTAAGCAGTCAGTCCCTCTCTCCCCTCCCCCTAGCACCTGGCAATCATCACTTTGCTTTCTGTCTCTATGAACTTATTTATTCTAGATATTTCATATAAATGGAATCACACAATATCTGTCCTTTTGTGACTGGCTTCTTTCACTTAGCATAATGTTTTCAAGATTCATCTGTGTTACAGCATATATCAGGACTTCATTCCTTTTTATGGCTGAGTCATATTCTATAGCATAGGTAAACGTGTATTAAATTTAAAGCAAATTTCTCACTGTATTCCCCCCCAAAATGTTTTCAACAAATGTAGGATCCATCCATATGATTCAAAGGCATCCATTTGAAAAAAAGCTTTGATAAAAGCCAAAAAACACAGCATTGGTGAACTCAGTGAGAGGAATTTAGTGAGAGGCTAAGCTGATGTGGTGCAAGTCTTCTAGAAATCTACCTTGATATAAGAGCAGAATTTAAAATGTATGAAAAAGTGAATGGATTGCATGCATATTTGACAATGGTCACTACATAGCTCCCACACACACCATAAATAAATAAATAAGGAAAGAAAAAGAAAGAAAGAAAGAAAGAAAGAAAGAAAGAAAGAAAGAAAGAAAGAAAAAGAAAGAAAGCAAACTTTGGATGGGACCTAAGGTGCTCCATCTCTCTGACAAGGGCCTCAAGTGTTGGGATACCATGTAGACATCATGCAACCCTGGGACATGATATAATTTTGGCTGGGTGCCAGAAGACCAAAACTAGCTTTCTGAAGAAAACCCTGGCTATTTCTACAATTTTTAAAGAAGAACAGAAATGTCCAGAAAACTAATAGCGTAACAAAGATATCCAGAAAAATAATGACTAAGAAGAAAAGGTAGTCTTCCCTTTAAAAAAAAGTCATTTATAGTTTATGACCACGAAGGGGTTTGTTTATCCATTTATCCATCCTTTTGTTTAACTGATATTTACTGAATGCTGGACCTTCTCCTTCTGGAAATATGGAGGATCAATATTCTGAAAACCCCTACCAGTATAATATTAACAATTGCTAGGTGGATTACAACAGCTTGCTTTAAATGAATAGCTGAGCTTACAAAAAACAATGGGAATCTCAGAGGACAAAAATGACTAGGGAGCAGGGACCTGACCATCCAAGACTTTGTAAGCCAACGTAAGGACTTTAGATTTTACTCTGGGTGGGATGAGAAGCCGTTGGAGGGTTTTGAACAGGGGAGTGAAGTGGTCTGACTTGTGTTCTTTCGTGCTTGTTATCTTCTCCCCCTGTCCAACTGTCATCTAGCATCCATTCCCACCATTCCCTGCTCAGTTTCCCCGGGGGGCTGACCTCTGCAGATTGCATCACCAAGTCACTGGTGGGCTGGTTTCCAACTGGTTTAACTAATAAGGGGCTCCTAAAGGAGACCAGAGAATGAGAAGAGACAGTGGTCAGGGTGTTTCTCACCCATTCTTTTCCCGCTTTGGTGCTCTTTCTGGAAGCAGCTGCATCCTTCCTCCACTACGACTTTTCCTCTAGGGTCCCAGTCCTCACTGGGTCATGATACACTATCTCCTCCCCTTGAATTTTTAGTCCCAGAGATGCAACAGCTTCCTATATTGCCAGTCCCTGGATAGCTCATTTTCTTTTGTTTGTTCTCTTAACCTTGTTGTTAATCTGTTGCAAGTGGCCCCTCCATTAAAGGCTCTTCAGTGGGTGAAGAATTCACCCATCTGGGGTCAATTTTGTTTCTGGCTGGGCCCCTGAATGATACACATTTTAGCTGAATCACTAAAGTTATTTTGTTGAAAACAGGCTATAAGAGGAAAAGAGTAGAAACATGGAGTCTAGGTGGGAGGCTTTTGTAGCAATAACATAGATGAGAGATGATGGTGGTTTGTATGTGTAATAAAATAGAAGTGAGTGAATGCTGAAAATATTTTGATGATAAAGCCAAAAAATTGCTGACATATTGGATATGATTTGTGAGAAGGAGAGAGGAGTCCCAGTTAACTCGAAATCTTTGGCTTATGTAACTGGAAGGATGGGGTTATAATTTACTGAGATGGGAAAGGCTGTGGGAAGAGCCCACCAGGTTTGGAGGAAATTCAGAAGTTCAGTTCGATACATGTACAGTTTGAGAGGCTTATAAAGGAACTAAATGGAAATATGAGGTAGGCATTTGGCTGGGAATGGGGAACATTCCCAGGGCAGGGGGATGGGCTGGATGGAAACATAAATTTGAAAGTCATCAGCATTTAGCTGGTAATCAAAGTGAAGAGACTGGATTGGATCATCAAGTTTGTGAAGGTAAATAAGAAGAGAAAAGCAGTGGACACTGGAGTACTCCAAAGATTTTATGGTTGGACAGATGAGGGAGAATCAACAAATGAAACAAAGAAGGACTAGTCAGGAAAGTAGGAGGAAATCTAGGAGCTGATTGGTCAAATAAGATGAGGACAGATAACTGGCTTGTGGCTTCATTGAAGTGGAAGACCTTGGCAAGAGCAGTCTCAGGTGTGGTTGGAAGCCCGGTTGGACAAGGGTTGAGAGAATTGAAGGAAAGGACTTAGAAACACTGGTCTAGACATGTCTTTGGGGAGTAGCAGGAGTACTGGCACTTCCGGGTCTTCTTGGCTCCAGGTTGGTCCCCACTTCAGCATGTCTTCCGAGCTCCTTCCAGCAGTGCAGCTTAACCATCAAGAGCATAGTTTCCAGTACCGACTGGCCCTGGTTCAAAACCCCAGCCGTGTCTCTTACTAGCTCTGTGACTAAGGCGACTTTCTTAACCTCCCTGAGACTTTTAAAAATGGGGATAATAATGGTATCCACTGGGGAGCAGTAATATTTAAGCTTTATAAAGGTTAAATAAGGTAATAAATATGGAGTGTTGAGCTCTACAGCTATTGTTATTCTTTTTAAAAATGCTAATCTGATTATGTCAGTGACTCTTTCTTTCTATTACCCTCCATCATACAGGTCCTAATTTTATATGCAGACTATCTCCTTTACATCTTAGCCTCCAGAAATGTAAATGTACCTGTAGGCCCTGAAACCTGCTAGGGCAAAAAGCTAGAGCTGCTTTGCTCCCTTCAGGACTTACTTTTAGGAGGTGCCATTAACAAGAATGTCCACTAGAGGGTGAGCAAGGAAAGAGGGAGGAGAAAGCTGAAATTAATCCAGTCTTTTGGGTTAGCTCTACTGAAGTTTAACACACTATAAATTTGTCTGAAATAATGTTTTTTTCCCATTCTTTCTTTTTTTTAAATTTAATTTGTTTTTTATACAGCAGGTTCTTATTAGTTATCTATTTTATACACATTAGTGTATACATGTCAATCCCAATCTCCCAATTAATCACACCACCACCACCCCCTCCCCACTCTCCCCCCTTGATGTCCATACATTTGTTCTCTACATCTGTGTCTCTCAAAATAATGTTTTGATTGTGTGGTGCTTGTAATTATCAGGGGCCCTCTACCATGGATAACCAGGAGTTAGTCTAATGTTTATAAAAAGAAAGGAGAGAGACAGAGACAGAGACAGACAGAGACAGAGAGAAGAAGAAGAAGAAGAAGGAGAAGGAGAAGGAGAAGGAGAAGGAGAAGGAGGAGAAGAAGGAAGAAGAAGAAGAAGAAGAAGAAGAAGAAGAAGGAGAAGAAAGAAAAAAAAAGAAGAAGAAAGAAGAAGAAGAAGAAGAAAAAGAAGAAGGAGGAGTAGGAGAAGAAGGAGAGGGAGAAGAGGAAGAAAAAGAAGGGGAGGAGGAGAAGGAGGAGATTGGAAGGATGGAAGGAATGAAGGGAGGGAGGAAGGAAGTGAGGAAGGAAATAGTGAAGGAAGAAGGGAGAATCTAGCAATAATGTCCTTGGTCAGCAGCTCTTTTTTTCTCAGGGTAGGTGTTAGAGACCAGACTAGGAAAGGGGTGGGGAAAGAGGAACAGAAGAGGTGGGGGAAGGGGAGGGATCAGGGGAGGGGGAAGATGTGAACCTTGGTTAGAGAAGTAAAAGAAAGTAAGTCTTTCTGGGGACAGTGAGTGCAATCTCCCTGCACACCCATCCTTGGGCAAGGACCCAGAGACCTCTGGTGCTGAGCGCAGAGGCTGAAGTGCTACAGAAGAACTATAGAAGGACGGAGCAAAGCCATGGTAAGCTTTTCAGCCTAAAAGATTTCCAGATGCTCAGATAGAACCTCTTCTTGGGATGCAGAGGCAGGTGGCAAAGGAAAAGAAGCAACTCATTTCCTATTTGGTTTTAAAAAAGCCAAAACTAAAAATGCTGAGTTTAATTTAAAAAGTGCTCCTAGAATCTCTCTTCTCAGTTGTGCTGATTTCTTCTCCTTGACTTGTCTCTGGTGAGGTTCTTGAAGAAGTACTACTATCTGGTTGAAATTAGCACTCTTGTGACTAAACATTGGCGCTACCTGAGAACTGATACACTTCAGAAAAGATGGTGTTAAGGTGTGAAGAAAATTTGTGGTTTTGTCATTTGGGTTGCTCAAAATGTGTTTCTTTCTAGTTGAAAAATAAATGAACTCCTTTTTTTTAGTAGTGTCTTTTTGGTTACCCAATTCTTTTACGTATTTGAAGCATTGACCCATCAGAGTCAAGTGTGAGATTTTAACATTAAATCTAGACATCAATAGTTCATTAAAGACCAAAGAACACTTTAAAAATACACATACTAAATATCAAATAGTTTCATCCGACAGCTCAGCATATAAGTAGATACAAAAAAATTACTAAAATGTAGAAAAAATCAGAACAGTCAGCAACTTGAGGCTAAAATATGAAAAAACAACATCAACTCTGCATCAGTTTTGAGGCAAATTTAATTCTACTTTTTCACCCATGTCTGAGAAATCTCTTGCCTCAGACAGGTTTAGTAGGCATAAGTGTTATACTCTGAACTTTGAGAAAGTTGTAGGCATCTCCTCAAGTTGCTATAAAATTGTGATTTAGAGCATAAGTCTGAGTATAATTGTATTTTATTTGCAGATATTTCCATGGAAATGTCAGAGTGCTCAGAGGAGCTTATGGAACGTTTTTGAGCTGTGGGTCTGGACTGTGCTCTGTTGTGGTATGTTATGACATTTATATATTACTAAGCTTTTTAAAAAAGTTATGTTCATATTTTGGTAAATGTCCACTGGGTGTACATATTCACAGGTAAAATTATTAGGTAGATAGCTACCCTTTCTACAAACATCCCTGTTCTTCCTCTCACTTCCCCAGAAAACTCCTAACCTTGCCCCACCCTTTGCTGCAGGGTTTATTTTATGACATTCTTTACTCATTAATCATAACTGTCTCCCAGTTCTCTGTACATTTTTCATATGTTTAAGTTGATATGTTTTCTTTGCATCTGTTATTCCTTGCTCAGAATCCTTAGGAAAGTATAAAAATTGCATCTGTGTTTTCTTTGGTATTTCTCTGTAGTATTTTCCCTACACAGTGAAAACTCAACAAATGGTGATGGCTGTGAAAACCTTTACCTTATGGTATAATAGTGCTTCACATAGATCATACCATGCTTAGAATGGCATATATTATTATGGTATCATTGTGTAATTATGTGTTTGTTTTGATTTCTTCAATGCCCTCATATTTGAAGCACCCATATGATTATTATACACCATCAGTTGAGTATCTTTGTGTGCATAACATAATCTAAATCAATTTCATAATCCTACATCATTTGGTTTTTTCAATTGTTCTTTTTATTATGTAGTTAGATATATAAGGCTTGGGCTGTGTGCTTTCCCCAGAAGAGGCTCTTCCTATGGTAAAACATTATCTTTTTGATATAAAAGAGATTACTTAAAAGTATGCCATTATTCCTGTTCTTATTTTACTTCTCCCTTAGAAACACAAGTATTGGCCTTTAGGAAATTATCCCGAAATAAAAGAGTGGACAGTAAATTTTAGGGCTATATGATATTACACTTAAATTAACTTTAAATGATTGACAACTGCTAAGAAAAAGAAATATGGATTTCTAAAACATGGTGGTTAAATTTTACTAGAAAGAATTTTGAGAAAAAACTGTTTTATGAAAATAAATCTAAAAAGCCACCAAATTCATCTAAAATAGAGCTATGAGCAAAAGTATTCTATATCATGGTGAAAAGTGATTAGGGCTAGAGGTTCTAGGTTCTACTCTTCAAATCTGCCAATGACTAATTCCATCACCTCAAGAGGGTAACTTACCCTCTTGAGGTGTCAGCTTCCTTGTCTCTGGCAGGCTCAGCCTGGATTAGTTCTGGGCTCTTTTCAGCTATAACCACGAGGCTACATAGTTCACACTGATGTCTTTCAGATTTCTTCGCACATCATGGAACCGATTGCTGGACTTACCATTATTCTAAAAGACCCATGACCTGGGAAAAGGCTAGAATGTTCTGCAGAAAAAATTACACGGATTTAGTTGCCATACAAAACAAAGGGGAGATTGAGTACCTGAACAAGACGCTCCCCTTCAGTCCTAAATACTACTGGATAGGAATCCGGAAGGTAGGAGGGGCATGGACCTGGGTAGGGACCAACAAATCTCTCACCGAAGAAGCGGAGAACTGGGGCCATGGGGAGCCCAACAACAAGAAGAGTAAAGAAGACTGTGTGGAGATCTACATCAAGAGGGCAAAAGACGCAGGGAAATGGAATGACGACGCCTGCCACAAAGCAAAGACAGCCCTCTGCTACACAGGTAGGAGTGAGCAGACTGCTTCTCTGAGAATGACAGCATTAACCCCATGGAAACCTGGGGGAGCAGAGAAGTTGCCAGGACATTCTGAAATAAGTCCAGTCCTCTAAATAAGCATGAGTCACGTCACTTCTGAGCATTTTTGGTGTGGGAGGCTCGTCCCTATACCCAAAATCTATACCCCTGAATCACTTTTACATCAAGATGATAAATATATGTGGAAAGTAAGGAGGAAGAGCTAGACAATCAGTGTCGCTGATAATAAGGCAAGGAAGTGGAAGCAGAGAGATGGAACCAGCCAAGAGCTGAGGCTCATGTCACCTATTTCCTCCTCGTAAAGTAGGCGGCTTGGTGCCATGTTTCCTTCTTGGTCTAATCTTATATAATTCTATATAATGAAACTTTGCAGTGTTTCATTATCTGTGGTATATGAAAACTTCTGTAGAGACCATGATGACAGTTCCAAAGAAATCAGCATTTTTTCCAAGTCATTTTTAACAGTGAAACATAGTTCATTTGGTGTCTTGTAAATTGGACTCTCTAGTAATGTAGCAAGTTCAGATTTTCTAATCTCTATTCAGTACTTTCTATAAAGAAAGGGATTGCCAAACATGCTGCGGAAACGATTGGGGTCAGGTCATAGTTTAATACACTTACTACCTTAAAATCAAAGAAATTTCAAGAGTTTCAATGTATGTCAGTAAGTTCCCTCAAATGTTATAGACTATTAGCATTAGTAAATTCATTCTTAAAAAAATGTCTATGGCTGTATCACAAGTATATTACATAAATAAAAATTTTAGCATATGATTTTTATGCAAAAAATGCTATTAATATACAAATAAAGTTTTCCTGTTTATTAAAGTAGTCACAGCCCCAAAGTTATCTATGTTTAAAGAAATGACTAGGAGTACTAAAAAAGTATTCATCTTAATATAATTTCTCACCCCCCTTAAAGCTTCTTGTCAACCCTTGTCATGCAGCGGCCATGGACAATGTATGGAAATCATCAATAATTACACCTGCAACTGTGATTTGGGGCACTACGGGCCCCAGTGTCAGTTCGGTAAGCCACTTTTGTTCCTTTGTTTCTTCGTATGTAAAGTATTGTAGTTTATGAAAGTTGGTTGAAGGAAAATGATATTAGCCATTCTGAGAAATGAGAAGGTTTGATCAGTAGGCTATGCTTGCACAATATTGTTACCTTTCCGTAAAGATTTCATAAGTCAGCATGAAGTTTCAAGTCACTTCTCAAAAAGTCTTTTTGAGTGTTACAAAGAATATTGCTTTGGGATTAAAGCTGTAAGGATTACAATAATGAATCAGGCTTGGTAGGAATTCATAATCAAGTAAGTTTGCTGGATTCATTAGAACTCTGAAACTGAAAGAAACAATAGCATTTATCATCAGGAGGGTGAGTTACGCAGAAGGTAATCTTGCTTTTTCACGTCATCCTCAAGATCATGACAGGGCAAGGCCAACAAGAAAAGTTCACATCATGATATACAGTATCTGTTGGAAAATATAATAATAAATCCAACGCATTTACTTGGGCTGGCATTTCAGGGGGTACAAGGACAAATCTATTACAGATCCTGACCTTAAAGGATTTACAGTTAACTAGTGTAAATTATACATGCTTATAATTTAATGTGATGGAAAGCCAGATACGCTGGAGTAAGCCTGTGGAGGCCACTTAGCATCTAAACCCCTTCATTTAGGGCCATTACCCTAGAAGCGGTACATAAGATGGATTGAACAAAAAGAGAGAAGCTGGAGCGCATCATCAGGGGCCTATTGAAGTCATTCAGAGTCACAGTGGTAGGAACAGAAAGGAAAGAATACGTAGATTCAAAGACATGGAGTCTTTGACCTAGTCAACTCACTACTGAAAGAAACTTCATGTCCTTCGATTGGTATTGGTTGAGTTTCAAAACTATGTTTGAAGTATCTGGTGCATAAAATAGAAAATTATAATAAGAAAAAAAAGCAGGGTTTGCAATGAATAGATAAAGAATTAAAGCCAAAATACATGTAAATGATCAACCAACTGGAACAGATCTGACTCATTTCAGTCAATCCCTGAGCCATGACTTCTACCAATGCTTTACTTTCACTCGATTTCTAAATTTTAAAAAATTCTTATGTCATTGGCATGCCCATTTCACTCCTTTTTGAACATTTTACTCTGTTTTTGTCTTGGTCTCTATCATATCAGTCTTTCCTGGTTTTCTTTCTACCTATGATCATTTCTCCTTGGGTTTCTTCATGGGCACTTATCCAAGCTCATACACTTATTGTTATGTCTCATCTTCCATCTTTTGTCCATTGCTCTTCTGACTTTATGTGCCCCCTTTGGTCAAACCTAGCAACTTATGTGGACTCACAAATCTATGTGAACTTTGGACTGACAAATATGTATCCAGCCTGAACTCCAAATATGCTAAGCATAACCTTTGGGATGCCCAAAAGACTGAAAAATCAATTGTCCCCAGCCAGCTTTCCTTTTTGTATTCCTTATCTCAGTGTGTGGTTCCACGATTTATATGGGTACTCTGGTATAAAACACTCTCACCTCCCCCTACATTTATGCAAAGTAACACACTACTCTTTTTTTTAAAAAACACCTTTATTGGAGTATAATCTTAACAATGGTGTGTTAGTTTCTGCTTTATAACAAAGTGAATCAGCTATACATACACATATATCCCTATATCGCCTCCCTCTTGAGCCTCCCTCCCACCCTCCCTATCCCACCTCTCTAGGTGGTCACAAAGCACCAAACTGATCTCCCTGTGCTATGTGGCTGCTTCCCACTAGCTATCGGTTTTACATTTGGTAGTGTATATATGTACATGCCACTCTCTCACTTTGTCCCAGCTTACCCTTCCCCCTCCCCGTGTCCTCAAGTCCATTCTCTAGTAGGTCTGCATCTTTATTCCCGCCCTGCCCCTAGGTTCTTCATGACCATTTTTTTTTTTAAGATTCCATATATATGTGTTAGCATACAGTACTTGTTTTTCTCTTTCTGACTTACTTCATTCTGTATGACAGACTCTAGGTCCATCCACCCCACTACAAATAACTCAATTTCGTTTCTTTTTATAGCTGAGTAATATTCCATTGTATATATGTGCCACATCTTCTTTATCCAATCTTCTGTCGATGGACACTTAGGTTGCTTCTGTATCCTGGCTATTGTAAATAGAGCTGCAATGAACATTGTGGTACATGACTCTTTTTGAATTTTGGTTTTCTCAGGGTATATGCCCAGTAGTGGGATTGCTGGATCGTATGGTAGTTCTATTTTTAGTTTTTTAAGGAACCTCCATACTGTTCTCCATGGTGGCTGTATCAATTTACATTCCCACCAACAGTGCAAGAGGGCTCCCTTTTCCCCACATCCTCTCCAGAATTTATTGTTTGTAGATTTTTTGATGATGGCCATTCTGACTGGTGTGAGATGATATCGCATTGTAGTTTTGATTTGCATTTCTCTAATGATTAGTGATGTTGAGCATTCCTTCATGTGCTTGTTGGCAATCTGTGTATCTTCTTTGGAGAAATGTCTGTTTAGGTCTTCTGCCCATTTTTGGATTGGGTTGTTTGTTTTTTTGATATTGAGCTGCATGAACTGCTTGTAAATTTTGGAGATTAATCCTTTGTCAGTTGCTTCATTTGCAAATATTTTCTCCCATTCTGAGGGTTGTCTTTTCGTCTCGTTTATGGTTTCTTTTGCTGTGCAAAAGCTTTGAAGTTTCATTAGGTCCCATTTGTTTATTTTTGTTTTTATTTCCATTTCTCTAGGAGGTGGGTCAAAAAGGATCTTGCTGTGATTTATGCCATAGAGTGTTCTGCCTATGTTTTCCTCTAAGAGTTTGATAGTGTCTGGCCTTACATTTAGGTCTTTAATCCATTTTGAGTTTACTTTTGTGTATGGTGTTAGGGAGTGTTCTAATTTCATTCTTTTACATGTAGCTGTCCAGTTTTCCCAGCACCACTTATTGAAGAGGCTGTCTTTTCTCCATTGTATATTCTTGTCTCCTTTATCAAAAATAAGGTGACTTGGGCTTCCCTGGTGGCGCAGTGGTTGAGAGTCCGCCTGCTAACACAGGGGACATGGGTTTGTGTCCCAGTCTGGGAGGATCCCACATGCCGCGGAGCGGCTGGGCCCGTGAGCCATGGCCGCTGAGCCTGCGCGTCCGGAGCCTGTGCTCTGCAATGGGAGAGGCCACAACAGTGAGAGGCCCACGTACCGCAAAAAAAAAAAAAAAAAAAA